TGAAATATTATATATATATAATATATAAGTTTATATATATATATATATAATATATATATATATATACAGATATGACAACCGTTATCTTGATTTTTCCGATTATTGATGTTACATTGTATAACTCTCATTTCTTTCTCTCTGCTACATAATAACTTATGACGTGAAAGAACTTACGAGTAACGTATGATGGCTCAATGCAAGAATATTTAATCACGTAAAAAACTTGAGTTCAAATATATCAATATCAATTTTTTTATAATATATTGGAATATGAAAATCATAGAAATATATTTGTATATAGGCGATAAACTTAAAAATTTGATATTGAAAATATTTTAATCATATTTTACAACTACACACACTATAAATATATAAATGCAAAATAATTCCGTAAATAAATTTCAAGTAATAAATCAATTGCACACATGCACACAGCTGGTATGTAGATTTTTATTAAATTTATTTTTAAATTTATTTTCTGAATTATTTTACACTTATATATATAGTGTATGTAGTAAAAATATTTTCAATATATTAAAAAATTTTAAATCGCCGAAATATATTTTTTTATCATTTTTCTATATTTTAATATATATATATATATATATATATATATATATATAAAAAAATTGATATTGAAATATTTGAACTCTAATTTACTGGATGATATACTGAACATCCTTGCATTGATTATACATTACTCAACGTTCTTTCACGTTATAAGTATTTGGAGCAAATGATACAATAGCATCAATAATCAAAAAGAAATCAAGAATAATCAACATATCCCTTATATAATATATATATATATATATATATATATATATATATATATATATATACGCACATATGTGCATAAGCATATATAAAATTTACAAAAAGTAGGTACTTATTAGCCTTGCTACGCTACTGCCTTCTGCTACGGAAGGCCAGAAAGCATTTTCAGGCCGTATCTCGCGAATACCGGCACGATAGAGGAACAAGGAGAACACGTATTATCGGTCCTTGTCTCTCTACGGTGCGTCCGCGTGAGCAATGCAATAGTGTATGTACGTGTACAGACATGCACCACTACATAAAACCCGAGAATTGGTTTCTCGGCGTTGGCAACACTGAAATCGGAGTTTCGCGTTGTCACCGCGCGAGGTCTCCAACATCAATTCGGAGTTTGGCCGGCCGACCTGTCGACCCTTAAAGTGTAATTTATCACAAAGGTTATTATAAAGATTCATCCTGTGTGTACATCTCCTTGTATATGTGAGTCATTCATTCACTTGTTGGGCATAATATTTAACATAAATGTCGCTTTGTCTGTTCTACATAAACAGCATCGCAAACACTCTGCATTTTAATCTATACACTACATTTGTTCTTCTGTCTGTAGCTAAGAATCCTTGTCCTTTACAATCATACTGTCTAATTTTTTCGGAACCAAGTAAAGCGATTTCAAACCATAACATTTAAGAATGCGACTAACATTCTCACTGAGTTCCTTCACATATTTGCACATCAAGATCACATAATGTTGCAGTTTTTTATACACTTTATATTTGCTTTTATTTTTTCCGCACAAATTATTTGATCAACATTTTTCTTCGTTGCGTTACTTATTCTCTCTTGCAGTAGGACATCTAAAATTAAAATAGAAAATTCTAAAAAATATATTAAAACAGTATACATTTAATAAATTTTATACAATATATTTTTTAAATGTACATGAATTTTTTAATTACGTATACTTAATATTAAATTTATTAATTTGGCTCGTGACTCATTGTTCAAATAAATTAGAATTTTACGTTTTTTTGCTTATATAGACTTTATTAAATTATGAGCATAAAAGTTAAATCGAATAAAGGACGATATCCTTTATTCTAAATCAATTTCTAATTCTAATTTTTCTAAATTAATCGAAACATTTTTCTTCAAAAAATTACATAAAATAAAAGATACGTACTTTATTATCGGTTTTAAATACTTTTTTGCAGAAATAATAAGCAATAAACATTTCGTGAAAAATAAAAGAATGGTCAACTTAAAAAATTAAGAGTAATAATAGGTACTAATACAATACTAAAAGAAATTAATATTAAATTTAGTTACATTTATCGTGAAGATATTAAAAAAATAAATTTTAAAGATAATAAACAAAACTTTTTTTACAAAAAAGAAGTTATATAAAATTGCTAATTCTTTTTAATTGTTATAATAATTGAAAGATCAAATAACTTTTTTTTTTTACTAAAAAGTACACTATAAAAATTTTATAAAATAATGCTACCTTTTATTTTATTTTACTCTAAAAGTGTACATATTACTTATTTTATAGAGGAACAAATTTAATTTTTTTTAATATATTTTTTATGAATAAGCAGACGTCGTCACTGTATATTTGAGATAAAATATAATAAGGAACCAATTTCTTTGGAAATCTGTAAAAAGAATATACCATATACTATAATACATATGAAATAATATATCATGTTAAATATACATCATACAAATCATATTTTCAACATTATACAAATCAAACACATCACATAAACCAGGTCAAATAAACGAATTAAAAAAACCATATACAGGGTGTATCCTAAAAAGTACTGCAATGGAGGATTCACAAAAATAGGAGAAAAAGTTTATATAAATATATGTTCGATATGACCTTGTTTTCAAGTTTATGAAAACTCCCTTTTCAAGGAAAATTCGAACTATACCCGGAATTTTGGAAAAATTAGACAATCTATGATGAGACGTGTTGAAGATGTATTCAAGTTAGAGGTAGTCATTTCGAGCACTTCCTGTAACCGTAATTATCTTATTAATTCTGTTGAAAAATAAAACAAGCTATAACTTGAAAACAAGGTCATATCGGACATATTTATATGAACTTTTTCTCTTATTTTTGTGAATCCTCCATTGCAGTATTTCTCACTTTTCAGGATACACCTTGTATACATAAGGTCTTAAAATACTTTAATTAATTAAAACAATCTAATTACAAAGTCTTCGATTAATTTAAACAAAAATATAAAGTCTTATATAAATTATCTTACACGTTTCAAACTATCCTTACAAGGGGCATGTCACAACTGTCCGGAACTGATTTGAAATATGTTGTTAAATACACAAATCTAAAAGACACGTATTTTTTTATACGTGCGTGATTTGAGTTTTAAAGGGTGAAACACTCTTTTAAAGAATAACAGTATTTTTCTTTAGGATCGAATATCTGTTAAACTATAAGAGATAAAAAGAAAAAACAAATTTTTATAGCTTAAAGAGTACTTTAAAGTTATATGAACAAAAATTTTTAATTTTTTTAAACTCCCACCACTTATGTTTTTTCAAAATTAAAAATTTTGTTTTACCTAATTTAAAGCTTTTTTCCAAATTCAATCATGTGTAATAAAGTTATGTTACAAAATTAATTATAAACGCTCCTGTATATACACTCATCCGTGCGTGAGAGAAATATCAGCTTTTAGATTTAAATATTATTGACAACATCATACACAGATTAGTTGCAGAAAAAAACTTTTTCGGGCAGAATTCTATCTTTTTATCAAATCATTCAATATGCCATAAAATAGGACCATATTTAACCATATTTAATCATATTTAACTATATTTAACCATATTTAACCTTGTGACAGAGTTTTGTTGTTGTCTCTCGGTAGTCTCAGAACATATTGTAAATCTATAACATTTTTTTGATTGAGATAACGTAAAAATTCTTGACTCAGAGACTACTTATCATAAGAGGCTTATCTCTGAAGTGATACATATCAAAGAACAAAAGCATAAAGCGGGGAGCACACACTCTTGCATAAGCGCATAAGCATAAGCATAAGAAATTCGATTGGTTGAATTTCTTATGCATACGTTCATAGGCCAATCAAGATTCTTATGTTTACGCTTATGCGCCTATGCAAAAGTGTGTGCTCCCCGCTTAAGTATAGCATAAGCATAAGCATAAGTAAGACTATAAGTATAGTTAGAAACGTATAAGATAATTTAAGACTTTATATTTTTGTTTAAATTAATCAAAGACTTTGTAATTAGATTGTTTTAATAATTTAAATTATGATGTTAATATGATGTCTAAAATACATCTTAATGACTCCTTTAAGACGTCTTATGTCCTAATTTTAGACGTTTTGTTGTCTGGGTATATTTACACGCGCAAATTACATAAAATATCAACACGTAATAAAAATATTCGATTTATGAAATATCACAGTCGAAATTTGATTAATATATATATATATATATATATATATATATATATATATATATACAAGGTGTCCCAGACCTACCGTATCACACGTTATGGGAGATTCCTGAGGCGATTTGGAGATGATTTTTCCTCAGCGAAAATGTCGAGTAAGGTCATCATTTTTTTTAATGTTCCTAATTTTTGAATATACTATATGTGTGTGTGTAAAAGACGTAAATTTAATAAGTTAGTTATTTGGATTCTTTTGAAGTGGAAAACCTTAAGGTCAAATCTGAATTTTCTATGGAAAGAACTTAAAAATATACGAAATAAACATTTTCATGCCTTACTTAAACGTTGGGAAATAATTTGTTTTTTTTACATCGAATGATTAGTCTCATGATTTTGTGTACGAAAATATTAAGATAAAATTATCGAAATTGAGTATTTTTTACGAGATATTTCATAAATATAAAATATTTCATAAACTATTCACTTTTTGACCATAACTTGTTATGCAGAATAATATGAAAAAACAGATTCATTTTCACTATAGTATAAACTTTTTTTAACTGTTGGAAATTCAAAAATCGTGCAAACCGTTACGCTATGAATATCCTGTATATAAATATATATCGCTCTACATTTGATTTTATTATCTTTTCTGATGATTCCAAATTACACATTAGTTTTAGAATGACGGGGAAGGAGGAGAGAAAGCAAATATACTGGAAGAGATTCATTGTCAGTTGTAGGTTTTTCCAATAAAAAAAAAAAACAACAGTACAATAAATAACTGCGTATATAAATTTCTTTCACTGACGTGCTACATATTGTCGAGAAAGCTGGCATCGGAAAAAAAACTGAAAATAAACGGGTTGCCAAAGCGAAATACATATGTAACATTGTAACGTATAAAATAAATTATTCATATCTCTCTCTTAAGTTAGCTTAAAAGTGAATGCATTTTGGGGAGATGGCATTTATTCGCTGGCAGCGAGCGCGACCGCCGTAAAACGCACTTCGGTAGGATCGCGTTCCATGTATTCCTTGCATACGCGAACGGCGTCGTTCAAAAGTGCTTCCGGCGTAGTTGAACCGTGATTGATAGGCGCAGTTTTTCGACCATCTAAAAATCAAATTTTCGTTATTAATTGGTACTCATTGCTTTAGCTAAGGTGATATACTTACAGCTCTGTGCTAGGGAATTGTTGCTTAATAATTAATATAAACCCTACGTTGTATAATTATGGATTATTTTTTTATCGCACTGAAAAAGATCCAAATAATTGAACCGAAACGTTCGCGAGATTTTTTGATTAAATAAATGAATTTTGTATTTGCGACCTAATTACTTCGTATTGCTCGTTTGCCTATTTCTTTCTCCTTATTTATTTCTTAATAATATGAAGTTCCATCCCAGTTAATCATTTCATATACTTCTGATTAAGAGAATTGATGCAATTGTTTACTTGTGCCAAATCGATTTAAATACCATAAAAGCAAATAAAACTGTCCTCTCCAATATTAAAATTTTAACCAAATGTGTACAGTTAATGTATATAAAATACATACCTAACTCATATAAAGAACCGTCTTTATGTACAAATGCGACAAAATGGTAGTACACCTCCACATCTTCAGCTGGTGCCTAAAAGAAATTCAGAAAGATATATATTTATAATTTACTTCAATTTTTTGAAGAACTTTTGAAGTTATTCTCAATTAAAACAAAATAGCAAAACACCTCGGTCTGTCCTTCCTGGGCAGATTCCATGTGAGTATCGATGATTCCTTGCGCACTTTCTAAATGTTCTCCACGCTCGTTGCAAGAAAGTCCTTTGGTTTGATCTAGAAATGTCTTAAGAAATCCATCCTCTAACTGTATGCTACAATAAAAGAAAGAATATTTATTTTTACACAATTGTGTATGTGACTTGCAATATGTATGTGTATGTTATTTGCAATACAATTGTCGATTGAATACTCACGCATCCAAATTATTGGCCACACTATGAATTAACGCAATTGTTCCACACGCATTTGAAATACATTGCTTCATATAGTAAACAGATTCTGGAGCATCACTTTTGCTATCCTTAACTTCTTCTTTTTCCTCTTCAATCTTTTCAGTCTAAAAACAAAATAAAACAAATTTTATTTTCCAGAGTTAGCATCTTATATATTGTATATTATGTATTGTATATGTATACCTTTGCAGGAACAGGATAAAGCAGTACAACGGCAAGAACAGGCCTAGGGATAATCGCCAACAAATCTGAGTCGAAGCTATATACATCTATGATCGACCACTTCTTTGGGACGCCCAACTTATGGAGAAACTGCAAAAATAATGTTATATACAAGATGATTCAGAACAAATTTTAACAAATATCTATCAATGCGTATATTCAAGCTCGGGGAGCACATTTTGAGGATTTATTGTAAAACTTAAGTGTAAACAAATGTTTATACATTCTTCTATTTTATAAATTCTCAATTATTAATAACAGTCATTAGTATTTAAATAGTAGTGGAAATAATCGACCAAACTAACAAGTAAATAGTTTATTCAACTTCACGACATTTAGACCATGTGATTGTGGTCCTTTTTTCAAATAAGACACTAAAATATTTGATTACACATATAATTATCATTAACACGAAATCTCTGAATATACAAATCCCAATTAATAACAAAATAATCATACTTATAAATAAATTCAGTTATAGTTTAAACTCATTATACAGCAATTATCGATACCATTTTGCCACTTATACAGTATTTCAATTAATTGAAAAAGTGACACAGCTACAACATATCCCAACAAAGGATTGTCACAGATTCTAATATATTTTTAGTAAGATTATTTACACGACCTTAATTATTTTATTATATATATATCGTTTAGATTCTCTATCCTGTGAATTTATGTTGTTATTGAGTTTTTTAATATAAAACATTTTAGCTATTTCTCTCTTCTTTACATGTTTTTCCATATGTAAAAAATGTTAAATCTATTCCAATCAAAATCATGTTCAAATTCAGATCAATGTTTACTAATCACTGAATGTGAACTATGATGTAATTTAATATTATTACAATGCTCCTTTACCCATGTACTAAGATGTCTCTTTGTTTGTCCTATATATGATGCCGAACAGTCATTGCAGTCAATTTTATAAACGACATTAGTCACACGATCGCTAGATAGCACATCTTTGCCATATTTTACAAGATTATTAAGTTTTTTCGATAATCTATACACAACATTCATGCCAAATTTTTTTAAAAAGTGTGAAATATTATCACTAAAATTATTCACGTATGGTATCGAGATATAAGGTACTTTCCTCAGTGATTCGGTCGTATTGTCATCGGTATTAGACGTTCTGTTGTACTTTAAAAATTAATTCTTTTGTGTAAATACCGGTTAATTATTTTTCTATTTTATTTTGATGTTTCAAGGGTCGCTTCTTAATAAGCATATGATTTTTTACTACAATAACAGCAAAATTTTGAAACTTCTGTATACTACAGTGTTCCATAGAAAAATACTAAAACTATCAGCTGTCATTTTTTAATGCATGCAGTTATTGAGAAAACAAAATTTGTATTGAAAAGAGGAAAATCTGCAATTTTTAATGAATATAAATAAATGTTTGTATACCAGTTTATTTTATTGATAAAAAGTAATGTAATTTGTATTAATAAAAGTATTGATAAAAAATAAGTGCTAATAATCACATATGTAAACTAATGATAAATCTTTTTGAAATGCACACCATTTAAATGTACAAAATTCTATTCTTTTATGAAAACTAATAAAAACTTTTTTTAACATGTCATTTTTAATGTTATTGACGATCCTTTTAATAGCTGCTATTAAATCTGGCACTGGTAAAAATATTTATCATTAGTTTATATAATTTTATGTGATTATTAGCACTTTTTTCGTTACTTTTTACCAATAAAATAAACTAGTATACAAACATTTTATTTATATTCATTAAAAAATGACAGCTGATTAGTTTCCACATTTTCCTATGAGATACCCTATACATAAATATATATCGACAGAAAATAGAACTCATGTTCATTAAATAATCTACCAAAATTTATCTTCGTTCTAAATCACTCTGTATATACAGGGTGTTTTCAAATTAAATAACCAAACTTAAAATACAAATTTAAGACCACAAAACAAACAAATATTTTATCTAGAAGTTTGCTCACAAATGCTTCCTTAAAGAGATATTGACTTTTGAAATTTTGAACTATAGAAATGAATAATGTCGAAATGTCATCATTTTGAACAAAATATTTACATTAAATTGATTACTATAAAGCAATAAAGATGATAAATCTAAATTATTTCGATATTATTCATTATTTAACCTGGAAACACTACCCTATATATATGAAACTTTGCGATTTATACAATTGCGTCGATTGTAAGAGAAAAATCTGATAATATTCTCTCGGAGAAAATATATCAGCAAAAAAATTATTGTATACAAAAACTGAAGGTATCGACGAAATGACGATTGATTTAACTCGAACGTGGCAGCCGCTTACCTTCGTCATAACCTAAAATAGAAATCACAACTCGTTTAATCTCACGCTCGAAAAGATATTCGTCACGAATTGACGAAGAAAAATTGCTCACCTCTGAATTCGACTCTAAAGGTACCCAAGCCATATTGAATTACAATATTTTTGTGAAGAAGGAGGTTTTATCGCAAAACACCGGTAAAACAGCCTATTCATCAACGAATTCGCCTGCTAAAACTCCTCCTCGTTTGATTTAAATTCATGCGATCCTGTTTTCATGACCTGCGAAAACGTCAAATCCTACAACGATAAATCTCGTTTCTCGAATCGTAGCGATATATCGCCACGATTTTATAGTCATAAAATTTAAAAAGATTTGAAAATAAATAATAAAAAATTGGAAACAAATGTTTAAATTTTTTTTAAACTTGCGAAAAAATATCCCAAGTAGCAATATCCTTTGAGTGTCAATGACGGCGAAATCCGTTAAAATAAAACTGGCCAAAAGTGCTTATTGACGGAAAAATCCGCATATTTCATAACGCCAATAAATCACTTTTGCAGTGCATCATTTGAACTGATAATGTATACTTTAATGTTTTTGAGGTCGCAGCATGATTATGTCGAATTTTAGAAATTAAAGATTGCGGATCTAATATATCGGCGAATAATAATTCTTTAAAATTATAGTACCCAGACAGCACAGATATAATACTTATAAAATATTTATAATAATTATTTTAATGTTTTATAAATATTTATCATAAATATTTTATAAATATTTTTGGAATTTTATTGTCAGTAAGAAATCATAATATATACATATAGTCTAATCTAAAATTTGGTCGATTAGACGTTTTTGTGTTTTTCAAACTCTATATATATTAGCAATTTATAAAAAATTAAAAATGTGTAAAAAATGTTTATAAGTAAGCATACGTCACATATAATGGTAAAATAAAAGAACTAACAATTTAGTTAAAAAATATTTGCAAAATAATTACTATAAATATTTATTTACATATCATAAATATTTAGCATCCTTGGCACACAAACGTTTTTCTTGCCTGACACTCAAGGATGTCAAAATAACATCATTTTAATATATCTAATCGACATACATATAAATAGGGTAGCAAATATTTCACAATGTCATATAACTTGATAAAAAAATTTTAATAAAATAAAAAAATTGAAAACAAAATAAAAATATTGAACTGGAAAAATTGTTTTTTATTGTTTTGAAAACTTGTAAAAAAATATTTCAACTGACGTCATTATACATAAAAAATAAGTAACATTATTTTGACGTCTAATGACGTCATTCATTTATTGATGTCAAACTTCGTCTTTTTTAGTTTAAAGTTCAATTTTTTATTATAAATTATGAGTATTTGAGAGGGGAAGGGGACAACAAAGGCTAATTACGTCACTGTTCGCACGATATGATTGGTCGTGAAAAATATCATGTCTTCTCCTTTCCTCGTCTAAAGTCGTCCAAACCCAAACAATTATTAAACTTTTTAACTATGCTTGGGATTGATGAGTTGTGAATTATAAAGGATACTGAAAAATGTTTCTCAATGGATAGATATTTATTTAAAAAGAACAAAAAAATTCGAGATTTTATTCGAAAAGAAGAAAAAAGTTCTATATGTAATGTGTAAATGTATCATAAATATAATGGAATATAAACAATTTATCTATATCTCTTGAAACTAGATTTTGAGTGACCTTTATTTATATACGAGATATGCAGATAAATATGTCGAATATGGAGTGAGAAAAGAATGGGAGAAATTTGTATATGATTATATATGTATGACATATGTTATATAATCGATTAAAAAAATTGCATTGTATCTCAATATTATTATCATGTTTATGTCATAATAATTATGTAACACAAATATATTGTGTTATCTCTTTATCGATTATATACACACATATATATAATATACATTTGTATATATCAATAGTATAAAATAAATATAATTAATAGATTTTATTTTATAAAATTTTAAAAATTTACAATTGTTTGGAATATATAAACTTCAAAATTTGAAAGTTCTATTTATTTTCCACTCCGAATTTTTATGTTTCATTTAGAAGCAAAACATTAAAAGAAACTGATATAAGTATAATTATATATTAAAATTAATGATAATAAAAAACATAATCTATATAAACTCTATTTCAAAATTTTTTTATGAAATTATAAATTAATTTCGTAAAAAATGCGTATAAAAGTTACATCCACAAATTGCAAAGGTCGGTCAACAATGCGATCTTTGTCTACAAAAAATATATAGTATCTAATCTAATCTCAAAATAATATATAAAAATGACCAATAATACAAAAGACACATTCAATGTTCACTACTTTCATTAAAAGTTTTCTGTTGATAGGATGATGCTGCTTGTACATATTTTGTGTACTGTGCTGTTTCTTTATGTATCAGTAGGGGCGACGTACTTTAACGTGATAACGAAAGAAACTGACGAGAATAATTTTGTGCTACTTTCGACAAAAACATACAAATATGATCCAACTTGGTCCAGTCTAGATAGTCGACCGCTTCCACCTTGGTACGATGAAGCAAAATTTGGGATCTTTATTCACTGGGGTGTATTCAGCGTACCTAGCTTTGGCTCTGAATGGTTTTGGAACAATTGGAAAGGTTGAAAATGCTTTCATAATATATTGAATATTTTATGTATATAACATATAGAGAGTAAATTTAATTTGATGATCTTGAAAAAATCATAAAATACTTGCTGTATGAAAAATTGGTGTAAAGAAAATACATAGTAATTTTTAAGAAAAATATATAGCTGCTAGTTACAAATTACATACTTTTTCTTAAAAGCAATTTTGTGTTTTCTTTACATCAATTAATTTCTCTCATTATTAATTTATTTTTGTGCATAAAAATATTGAGTTAAGGTCATCAAAAAATATTTTCCAAAATGTTTTAGTTTATGTAAGATTATGTCAAATTAAAGTATAAAAAAAATATCTCGTAAACTGTTCACTTTTTGACCATCCTAGTAAAAAAAAAGATTATTGTCCTTAATGTACCCTTTTGATGCCACGTAATTTTTGTTTGAACAGTTTTTTCATATAGCAAGTACTTTATGATTTATTCTGTCGTCAAATCAAGTGACTTACTCTACATTATATATATGTAATAATTACATATAATATTATGCATATTTTCACATAATATTGCAGAGGAGACTCTAACTACAAAATATCATGATTTCATGAAGCAAAGATATCCTCCAAATTTTACCTATCAAGATTTTGCACGTGACTTTACTGCTGAATTCTTCAATGCATCTGAATGGGCTGACTTGTTTGAAGCATCAGGTGCAAAATATGTTGTGTTGACAAGCAAGCACCATGAAGGGTATACATTATGGCCATCAAAATACTCATTCAGTTGGAATTCTATGGATGTGGGACCTAAAAAGGATCTTATTGGTAATATTTAAAAAATATAATCAAAATTTCTCACACATTAAATATACATATATCAAGAATCTTATGTATTCCTTTTGATGAAAATAGGTGAATTGGCAGAAGCTATCCGGAGTAAAACACGTATAAGATTTGGCTTATATCATTCCATGTACGAATGGTATAATCCTCTTTATACAGCAGATAAAAGAAACAATTTTACAACAGATACGTTTGTAACTGAAAAGATAATACCAGAATTAGAAGAGTTAGTGGAAACATACAAACCAGAAATAATTTGGTCGGATGGAGATTGGGAAGCATCAGATTCTTATTGGAAGTCTAAAGAATTTTTAGCCTGGTTATACAATGAAAGTCCTGTAAAGGACACAGTCGTGGTGAATGATAGATGGGGCAGTAATATGCCATGCCATCATGGTGGTTTCTATACATGTACTGATCGTTTTAATCCTGGTAAGTAAAATTTAAAATAAAACTATACTACATAGTATACAAATTAAAAAATAGACATTATTATTAAATAAAAGTTGATTAAATAATATACATATAAAGAATGGGGCATTTAAAGTGTTACCAGTTATTATTTCTGAAAGTACACTTTTTTAAATCAATGTTTTCTTTACACCAATTAATTAGTCTCATTATTCTGTGCATAAAAGTATTAAGATAAGATTACCGAGAACTGAATGTTTCACCAAGTATTTTGTATTTTATATCAAAATATTATAAACTTCAAGTCTCATATTTCAAAAAATACTTTATTATAGTATTTTAAAAAGCTCTCGAGATAAGCTGCAAGAATATGCATTGAGAAAAAAAGAAGTTTCCATTTAAGAAATTAAAGGTGACCTTCATGTGACCTTCAAACGACTATCCAAGATCAAACCAATATATAGCACCTTCTTATGTCTCTCTTCGAGTCAATTTTTGTTTAAAAAATTTATTATAATAAATAAATACTTAAATACGTATAAATACTTTCAAAGATAATAGCTTGTAATACTTTAAATGCCCCCTGTATATATTTTTTCAATTAATAAGATTTTGTTTCTCAGGTGTACTTCTCCCACACAAATGGGAAAATTGTATGACTATTGATAAAAAATCTTGGGGATTTCGTAGAAATGCTGTTTTATCCGAATACTTTACATTGGAGGGATTAGTAAAGGAATTAGTAATCACTGTAAGTTGTGGTGGAAATTTACTGATGAATGTTGGGCCGACAAAAGATGGTATCATCTCACCAATATATGAAGAAAGACTGCGTGGAATGGGTAAACATGCATCCACTTTATCTTATCGTATTTTTCACTAATGACTACGTACACAAATTAGAGAATATTGATTTTTTTTCTCTGATAATCTTATTTGATATTGATTTTCTCTGAAAATCTTATTGTTAACTAAACAAATATGTTTTCTATTTCTTTTAGGTGCTTGGCTAGCAGTTAACGGAGAAGCTATTTATGGTACTAAGCCTTCGACTGTACAAAACGATACCTTAACAGGAACCACTTGGTACACACAAAGTAAAGATGAAAAATACTTATATGCCTCAATTTTAGAATGGCCAGAAGATAATATTTTATTATTAGGTTCGCTTAAAATTTTAAAGAGTTTCCAAATACAATTACTTGGTTATTCGTCGATTATTCCTGTAAGTATTATTCCTGCTTTTATCTAGTTATTATAAAGAATGTAATAAAATATAATTTCATTATATAAAATTTTAGTGGAAAGAATCCAATGACAAATTAGAAATATATTTACCTGCTAATGCACATAGAGGACAACCAGCTTGGGTACTGAAGATCGGGAAGTAATATGTAAGATAGTATTTAATTTACATAACAATCTGTTTTGGAAATATATATATGTATATTTTTTTACTAAGAATACATAGCTTGTATATTAGCTTCCAAATCTTGCGTATGTAAACTTCTCTCTTATAAAATAACGTCTTTTTCCATTAAACTTATGTAAAGAAAAAAATCATGGAAAAATATATTGTAATGCAATATTTTGCAATTATAGTTAAATTCATAAAAACTCTGAAAGTGTTTTATAATAGGAATTTATATATAGATCCTTGAACACATTTCAACGATAAAGTATTACACTTGAGCTACTTCATATAAGTAAGCTCCAAGTAGTTTTGTCTGCAAAGATAAAATCAATTATATAATATTTGCAATTTTTTATAACGAAAAAATTTGAAATTAGCTGATTTCTTTAGAAGATACTTACTCCTTGAATATAGTTATGTACATTCAATTTCTCGTTTTGCGAATGCGCACCATCATCACCCTGCCCGACTGGTAAAAGCAATACATTTTTGCCAGTAACCTCCTGGAATGTGAGAGTAACTGGAATTGATCCGCCTTCGCGGGAGAGATCGGGCTCTACTTTGTAAACGTGTTGGGTGGCTCTCCGGCCGGCCACGTAATTCGGATGCTCGGGGTTTTCGGACCACGGCTTCCCACCATGATACATGCTCGCGTTCATGATATTCGGGCTACCTCTCTCTTGCCATTTTTTATTGATGTACGCAATTACTTTTTCGGTTGTTTCGTCCGGCGTCATGTGAGGTACTATTCTGATCGAAAACTTGCCAATAACTTTACTCGGAATTACAGTTTTCGCGCCCGGCTCACTGAAAGCGCCCTGTATCCCGTGAAGAGAAAGACTGGGTTGTCTCCAACGATGCATTAAGAGACGAATCTGCAGATGCAAATTAGAAATCAGCAATTTTTGTTTGCTCATTGAGGAAGCTTTGTTTTCATGAAAATTTTTTTTCAGATTTCTATACCAATGTGTTCAGAATGTTCCAAAACGTCGAAAAATCATATTTCAAAAAAATGTCCATATGTATTTATAATTATGTAAAAAAAAAAAAAAAAAAATAAAACACATACCTTATCTTCTTTGTGCAACAGTCGCTTGGTGCCAACTGTTTCCCTAAATTCACCCACATCAAAATCTATATCCTTATAACTGGCCAATTCAGCTTCAGTCATTTTAGCTACATTATCATAAACACCATCTACCAAAATGTGACCATTAACATCAACCAAAGTATTCATTAAGTAAATCAGATCGGCCATAGCTTCATGTACACAGCCACCAAAGGTACCACTGTGTAAATCCTTGGTAGCGCAGGTGACTTCTATGAGAAAGTAGCAGATGCCTCGCAGACCATAAGTAATACATGGTTTTTTAGTACCCAGCCAGTAATTATCAGATATGCAGACATAATCTATATTCTTTAGGAAGCTATCTTTCCTTGCCCAAAGGAGATCATCTAAACCTTCGCTTCCACTTTCTTCCATTCCCTCAAAGACAAACTGTGTAAAAGTTCCAAAGGCTTAGTACATATAAATATTAATTGATATGCTCTATTAAGTCAAAAATCTTCTATTTTATTAAGATATACCTTGAGATTGACAGGAATATCAAGTCCAGTCGCTTTGTAAGCTTGCAATGCATGTATCCAGCAGAGAACCGGCCCTTTATCGTCAGTGCTACCTCGTCCAAAGAGCTTTCCATCTTTTTCAACAAGAGTAAATGGTTCAGTATCCCATCCATCTTCCTTCAGCGCTGGTTGCACATCCAAATGTCCATATAACAGTACAGTTTTCTTTTTTGGATCAGACCCAAGGTCACCAAGTAGTACAGGAGGTAATGGAATTTCGCTGCCATCAGGAAGAGGCTGCTTGCCTATATCAACCAATTCTGTAGTTGCACCAAGATTTTTCAATCTCACTTCTGCCCATTTCATCATCCTCACTATTTCATCTCTGTGATCTGGCCATGCTGACACAGATTTAATAGCCACTACTTCTCTCAAATTATTTATATATTCCCGCTTGTGTCCATCTATATATCTACAAAAATATAAAAAAATAAGGGTTAAGAATAAAAAATAACTGAAACGTATATTTCAAATCCACATTTAAAAACCTGTTTTTTTTTTACAAATTTGCATTTTTATAAAATTCGAATATGAAGCGAAACGTACTCAAACAACGTTTTCAAGGTTGATGGTAGTGACAATGCCATAACTGTCAAATAACAGTGACAAGTGACAACTCTGCTGAATCAGAACACAACAGCTGGAACCAATAATGCAACTGCCAACTCGCGTATTCGTGCTTTTATCGTTGAAAAAGCCGTATTTATATTTAATAACAGCCAACGTCAACGATATCTTAACTGTGATACTGATATCAGTAATACAATAGCGTGCTATCTAATCTTGTTTCACATATGCACTCAGATATTAAGCCAATCAGCGTATTCCACCTAAAATTTTAAGGTTATGCGCGCGTGTAGATATATCAGAGTTTTATTTCTTTTTATTTATTTTATTATTTCTATATAATTCATAATTAAAAATTATAAACAATGTTACAACCTTCATAATTTTTTCTTAGACATTTATAAAGTAAATTTTTTTTTAATAAACATTAAAACATTTTACAGATAAAGGATGGAGAATAAAATAAAAGTATAAAAAGGAAAATAAAAGTAAAAATTAGATAAATAAAATACAGAGTTCAGTAAGTTATAAGGATTTTTTTAAAACTAAATTAGGTTAAAGTTAGTTGCTTATAAAATTAATTATATAAGTTAATAAAATATAGTTATTACTGCTTATAAAATTAATTTAGTTTAAGTTAAAGTTGCATGAACAAAAATTAACTCAGTTAAAGAAATAATAACTATAATAAAATACATTCCTCTCGAATAAACTGGCAATATTCTTTCAATAATCACATAATAACGTTTCGATCTTATATATATATATATATATATATAGGTTTAAGTGATCTCTATAAAATATATATATATAAAGCAAAATATAAATAAACTATATAGTTAAAGTTTAAAATAAATACATTTTTTATTCAATATTTTATAATTATAATAATAAAAGCTAATATAAAAGATATTAACTTTACCTTATTTAACTAATTATAACAATTATATATATTAACGTACAAGGATATTTTCTGTTCATATATATAATATACATACATACATACATACATACATACATACATACATACATACATACATACATACATACATACATACATACATACATACATACATACATACATACATACATACATACATACATACATACATACATACATACATACATACATACATACATACATACATACATACATACATACATACACATACATACATACATACATACATACATACATACATACATACATACATACATACATACATACATACATACATACATACATACATACATACATACATACATACATACATACATACATACATACATACATACATACATACATACATACATACATACATACATACATACATACATACATACATACATACATACATACATACATACATACATACATACATACATACATACATACTACATACATACATACATACATACATACACATACATACATACATACATACATACATACATACATACATACATACATACATACATACATACATACATACATACATACATACATACATACATACATACATACATACATACATACATACATACATACATACATACATACATACATACATACATACATACATACATACATACATACATACATACATACATACATACATACATACATACATACATACATACATACATACATACATACATACATACATACATACATACATACATACATACATACATACATACATACATACATACATACATACATACATACATACATACATACATACATACATACATACATACATACATACATACATACATACATACATACATACATACATACATACATACATACATACATACATACATACATACATACATACATACATACATACATACATACATACATACATACATACATACATACATACATACATACATACATACATACATACATACATACATACATACATACATACATACATACATACATACATACATACATACATACATACATACATACATACATACATACATACATACATACATACATACATACATACATACATACATACATACATACATACATACATACATACATACATACATACATACATACATACATACATACATACATACATACATACATACATACATACATACATACATACATACATACATACATACATACATACATACATACATACATACATACATACATACATACATACATACATACATACATACATACATACATACATACATACATACATACATACATACATACATACATACATACATACATACATACATACATACATACATACATACATACATACTACATACATACATACATACATACATACATACATACATACATACATACATACATACATACATACATACATACATACATACATACATACATACATACATACATACATACATACATACATACATACATACATACATACATACATACATACATACATACATACATACATACATACATACATACATACATACATACATACATACATACATACATACATACATACATACATACATACATACATCATACATACATACATACATACATACATACATACATACATACATACATACATACATACATACATACATACATACATACATACATACATACATACATACATACATACATACATACATACATACATACATACATACATACATACATACATACATACATACATACATACATACATACATACATACATACATACATACATACATACATACATACATACATACATACATACATACATACATACATACATACATACATACATACATACATACATACATACATACATACATACATACATACATACATACATACATACATACATACATACATACATACATACATACATACATACATACACATACATACATACATACATACATACATACATACATACATACATACATACATACATACATACATACATACATACATACATACATACATACATACATACATACATACATACATACATACATACATACATACATACATACATACATACATACATACATACATACATACATACATACATACATACATACATACATACATACATACATACATACATACATACATACATACATACATACATACATACATACATACATACATACATACATACATACATACATACATACATACATACATACATACATACATACATACATACATACATACATACATACATACATACATACATACATACATACATACATACATACATACATACATACATACATACATACATACATACATACATACATACATACATACATACATACATACATACATATACATACATACATACATACATACATACATACATACATACATACATACATACACTACATACATACATACATACATACATACATACATACATACATACATACATACATACATACATACATACATACATACATACATACATACATACATACATACATACATACATACATACATACATACATACATACATACATACATACATACATACATACATACATACATACATACATACATACACATACATACATACATACATACATACATACATACATACATACATACATACATACATACATACATACATACATACATACATACATACATACATACATACATACATACATACATACATACATACATACATACATACATACATACATACATACATACATACATACATACATACATACATACATACATACATACATACATACATACATACATACATACATACATACATACATACATACATACATACATACATACATACATACATACATACATACATACATACATACATACATACATACATACATACATACATACATACATACATACATACATACATACATACATACATACATACATACATACATACATACATACATACATACATACATACATACATACATACATACTACATACATACATACATACATACATACATACATACATACATACATACATACATACATACATACATACATACATACATACATACATACATACATACATACATACATACATACATACATACATACATACATACATACATACATACATACATACATACATACATACATACATACATACATACATACATACATACATATACATACATACATACATACATACATACATACATACATACATACATACATACATACATACATACATACATACATACATATACATACATACATACATACATACATACATACATACATACATACATACATACATACATACATACATACATACATACATACATACATACATACATACATACATACATACATACATACATACATACATACATACATACATACATACATACATACATACATACATACATACATACATACATACATACATACATACATACATACATACATACATACATACATACATACATACATACATACATACATACATACATACATACATACATACATACATACATACATACATACATACATACATACATACATACATACATACATACATACATACATACATACATACATACATACATACATACATACATACATACATACATACATACATACATACATACATACATACATACATACATACATACATACATACATACATACATACATACATACATACATACATACATACATACATACATACATACATACATACATACATACATACATACATACATACATACATACATACATACATACATACATACATACATACATACATACATACATACATACATACATACATACATACATACATACATACATACATACATACATACATACATACATACATACATACATACATACATACATACATACATACATACATACATACATACATACATACATACATACATACATACATACATACATACATACATACATACATACATACATACATACATACATACATACATACATACATACATACATACATACATACATACATACATACATACATACATACATACATACATACATACATACATACATACATACATACATACATACATACATACATACATACATACATACATACATACATACATACATACATACATACATACATACATACATACATACATACATACATACATACATACATACATACATACATACATACATACATACATACATACATACATACATACATACATACATACATACATACATACATACATACATACATACATACATACATACATACATACAT